AAAAAAAAAAAAAAAAAAAGGAAAAAACACTGGGTTTCCTCATAAGAAAAGAGACAGAATAGCACTTACCTCAGAGGCTTATTGGGAGGACTAAATGAGTTGATTTTGCAAATTTTAAGATAGTGCTTTGACACATAAGTGCTAAGTTCTTAATTATACCTTTTTTTATATCTTCATCAAACACAATAATTCTCTATTATAAATAAATGCCGGCCACTGTAGGATGTATGCAGACAAATAAGACTCAAACTTAGGCAACTCTCAGCCCAGTAGGCATTTTATTTGATCATCATTTCAACTCTGGGAGTTAGGCAGGATGAGGGAGGTGTCAGGCCTCTGAGCCCAAGCTAAGCCATCATATCCCCTGTGACCTGCACTTATACATCCAGGTAGCCTGAAGCAACTGAAGATCCACAAAAGAAGTGAAAATAGCCTTAACTGATGTCATTCCACCATTGTGATTTGTTCCTGCCCCACCCTAACCGATACATAACTGATACTGACCCACTTTATGGATGATGAAATCCAGGCAAAGAAAGTTTACATGACCAGCCTAAAGACACACAGTCAGACTCAAGCCAGAGAGTCTAACTTCCAATCAATGGGAAAGGAATACAATGTAGCTAGCTATTTCAGATGCTTCCCAGAAGCCTGGCCCCACCAACCCCATCTTCATCCCCATCTCTGTCTATAGGAAATGGAGAGAATTGAAAACGGCGGCCGGGCGCGGTGGCTCATGCCTGTAATCCCAGCACTTTGGGAGGCCAAAGCAGGCAGATTACGAGGTCAGGAGATTGAGACCATCCTGGCTAACACAGTGAAACATCGTCTGTACTGAAAATACAAAAATTAGCCAGACGAGGTGGCGGGCGCCTGTAGTCCCAGCTACTCGGGAGGCTGAGGCAGGAGAATGACGGGAACCCGGGAGGCGGAGCTTGTAGTGAGCCCAGATCTTGCACTGCACTCCAGCCTGGGCGACAGAGCAAGACTCCATCTCAAAAAAAAAAAAAAGAAAAGAAAAAGAAAAAAAAGAAAATGGCTTATTAGCATGAAAGGCTAAGAAAGCAGAGGCCACGTGCCAAAGTATGAATTATGCATTAAACTAATGGAAAGTGCTGTCATTTTAGAAACAGCGGAAGACAAGGCTGCTAGTT